TGTGTTTGCGGTCTGTGAACACTGCCTCCCCCCCCCGGTGTCCACCCTGCCCTCACCCTATTCCCCGGTGCCTCAGGGATAACCGGCTCCGTATGAATGTGCCTCAGGAAATGCAATCGTAATGTGCTGATGAGATATTTTTTAGTTTTTATTTTTGAGAGCCACGTGCATTGCTAAGCTCGGAATCAGTAACCCTATAGTCATTTGTACACCTGCATTAGATTTCAACAAAAATGTCGTCCACAGTGGAACTAGGTATGTATACCATAGTGTGTAACTTACTTGGCAAAGGACACGCGGTGGCCAAGAGAGCAGGAGGGAGAGAGGGAGAGAGAGGGAGGGAGAGGCGATATGTAGAGAAAAGGGTCATAATACAAAACATATTAAAATGGGGTTTACTTAGTTTTGAATTTGAAGACAAAATGTTCCTAATAAAATGTGTTTGCACAGGCTGAACTCGGTAGCCTGCCCTTGTCCATGTAAAGCATCTGAAAATCCCCATGGAGGGGGCATTTGTCATTGCTAGTTAGTTATTACTTGTTTTTTACCAATGAGGGGGGACTCCCCCGCCACATTTGGACAGTGGTTCCTTCCACCAACAGGAATATATCAGGATAGTGGAGAAAAGATGCCCTCAGACATAGATATTTATAAATGCCCCTCCTTTTCAGATTCTGTGCTCCCTGAGCAACTTCTGATCACAGTTTGGCTTCCCATTAATTCCACCTGCCGGGAGAGAATGTGTCAGACCTTCCGTCTCCAGTATTCTGACCTATGTGACAATTGTAATTCTCAGTTGTAAACTAATTAACTTGATTTGATGCCTTAAAAACGTAGGCAATCTAAAACAAAATCGCTGGGAACGAAGCTTCGCAGGATCCATTTCCTATGGCTGACCTCAAACACTGTCATTCATTTTTCTAGATAAAGTTTCTTTTTATACACTTTTTTAACTGAAAAAAAAAGTTAAGTCATAATTGGATGGGATGGGAGGAAACTACCCATAAGCCTACTACCCTAGCATATCAACTATTTTATTTTTTTGCCTCCCAATTCCTGTCCAAGTGCACGATAATTTTATTGGCTATCTTGAGAGGACACACATAGCATTTCATATTCTGCTATGCTCCCTTAAGCTAGTATCATAAATGCATTTCTCTGTTTATGAATAGTCTTCCCGATTCAGTGTGTGTCTTAGTGGCAAAGTTGGAGCGATGGGGTGGACACCTAACTTCCAAAATAACACTTCGCTATATATTCCTTTAGAATCACAGTGCCTTCGGCAGGCCTCTGCTTGGTATGGAATTGTATTGTAGCGAGACGATTTATGTTGGAGTGTTCGCCAGCTGACATGTACCAGAAGCCTTGCTCTCCAAAAGGATTTCCTCTGAGGGGGATGCCAACGCTGCAATTGTGCCTCAGCAGTTGAAAATGAAAACAAGCAAAGCTGTATTATTTTACAGTTGTTAGCATTCAAAAGAAAATTTCAATATGCCTGGAAAGCCAGACAAAGCTACAGATGTCCATTCTTTCCCGGTACACACCCAGAAGGGTAAACCTTTTCTGAACTGATACTCCAGTATCCAGACAGGATACTCCAGTCTTCCTTCAGTCAGGAAGGACCGACCATCCCCCCTTGGAGAAAAAAACCACGGTAGTGCTGCCCAAAGAAAGGCGTACTTTCCAAAAACATGATGATTCAAAGTTGAGTTTCTGTTTGGATGCACTTCTCTGGGCTGCCTTTTTTTTTTTTTTCCTGGGGACATTTTGCCTTCCTTCCCAAAGGGAGGCAGCTTAGAAATTCCCTGTTCAAATAGGGAGCGTGCTTAGAAATAAATTCCCCAGGACTGAAAATTGAGGCTTTTTGGAATAGAAGAATGAACTTGGAAAACTTTGAGTAGATCTTAACATCTTGATAGTTAATGCCTTCAACTGCTGAGCAGATAAGGTGAGATTATTTAATGGAATGAAGATTTTATTTTTCAGATGAAAATCAGAGCCTCACAGTAAACTCCTAGGTACAGGCATGAACTCAGTGTCACGTCGAGCATTGCGTGCTCTGAAATATTTTGGGAAAATGATATACTACCTCTTTATTACTGCAGTTAAAACTTCATTTGATACAGTACTATCTTGGTGATACCAATTTCCCTTTATTTTTGTCAAATTTATTAGAATGTGGATAAGGAAGTCAAGAATGTTTTTATATGCTTAGTCTTTTACAATAAAAGGAAGCTCAAAACTTTGTGTTCTAAAGATGCTAAGGACCAGCAGCATTTTTTTTTTGAATTCTCCTCTGTCCCCACCCTTCAGAGAATTTTCTGAAACCCGTAATAAATGTCTTTAAAGGAATTTCAAAGTAATAAGCTGGATGGTTGTAGCACTTTTCTTCCTTGAACTTCCACTATGTTAACCTTGGGTTCTTTCCATTAAGAACTGAGCTGCTGGATATTTGTACCTTTTGAACTTTGGACCCACTTCACCGATTTCCCTCAACCCCCTGACCCCCTAGGTCTGGCAAGTACCAATCTGTGCTCTGTATCCACGAGTTTGGTGTTTTGTTTATTTGTTTAGATTCCACATATGAGATCATTTGTCTTTCTCTGACTTAATTTCACTTAGCATAATGCCCTCAGGGTCCATCCATGTTGTCACAAATGGCGAGATTTCCTTCTTTCTTATAGCTGAATAATATTCCACTGCATATATACACCACATATTTTTTATCCATGTATCCACCCATGGACACTTAGGTTGCTTCTGTGTCTTATCTCTCATACAGAATGCTGCCTTGAAAATGGGGGTACATTTATCTTTTGAATGAGTATTCTCCTCTTCTTTGGATAAATACCCGGAAGTGGAATTACTGGATCATATGGTGGCTCCATTTTTAATTTTTAAAGGACCCTCCATCTGTGCGAGGCTCCCTTCTTCTCCACATCCTCCTCAACACTTGTTATTTCTTGTCTTTTTGATAATAGCCATTCTAACACATATGAGGTTGATAGCTCATTCTAGTTTTGATTTGCATTTCCCTGATGATGAGTGATGTCGAGCATCTTCTCGTGTGTCTCTTGGCCGTCTGGACATCTTCTTTGGAGAAATGTCTGTTTAGATTCTCTGCCCATTATACTAGGATTGTGTGGGGTTTTGCTATTGAGTCATCTGAGTTCCTTATATATTTTAGGTCTTAGCCCTTTATCAGATATATAATTGGCAAGTATTTTCTTCTATTTAGTAGGTTGCTTTCCATTTTGTTGATGGTTTCCTTTGCTGTGCAGAAGATTTTTATGATGTTGTCCCACTTGGTTATTTTTTAAAGCTGACGGATTTTTTAAATGAAGTCAGTCAGCTAGGATGCCTCCTGTGTGCACACTTGGTAGATTCTAATGGGATCTGAGCCCTCTCTCCTTTTAAGGCAGTTAACACTGACAGTTAAGAGTCCAAAGAATGAATAAGGACTTGTCGTAGACCCGTCTCACATCCATGGCCGCCGGCTTCGGCTTATATGTGCAAAATGACAGACCGTTGGACTGAAGTCTTCCTGTGGTTTTTAACTCTATTTTAACCTCTGTTGGAGTGCCTATGGGCATGTAAAACTTCTCTTGGTGCTTTGTCTCAGAGCTGGGGACTGCTGAGTCATTCTTCTAACTCAGATTCAAGAGACTTTCTTTTGGCCCCATCCACGCAGGGTGCGCCATTTTGGTTAAGATCCCATAACTAGGGAAATTTGACTTGATGGTAGTTGGAGGGGTTGGCTTCTTCTGAGGAAGAAATAAGAGAATTTTCCCACCAGGGTCCATGCCAGTTTTGGACATGCTGATGGTTAGAGGATAATCCCTGTTGTATAGGAAGAGAAGATGCTCTCTATTGCATCATTCCTGGAGAAAGCACTCAAGAGAAGGGACTGTGATGGCTGGGCATGCAGATGAGGCCAGGATCTGCCCACCTATTTCCCTCTCCTTAATCTGCATGAAGCGGCTGCTAACTGGGCAAAAAGAAGGTTGTTTCAGTGGGGGTATGGAGTATAGAAAAATACGAGGGCTGGACGGAAACTTCTGGGTCTTCTGGTCCAGACAGTGGTGTTGCAGCCAGCTCTTACCTGTTGTGAGAGCCTGTTGGTATGTTTTTTGGGAATTCTGTGTGCCAGTGGTAAAAACAGAACCACTATTAAAATTAAATTCTATAAATTTAGAGGTAAGTACCTTACATTAAAAACAAAGGTAATAAATACTCAAAACCCATCACTCACAGATGGAAAATTTCCTGATTATTTAACTCTACTATCACCTTGCCCCCTGGGTCTATTTAAGGTTACCGTATGTGTAGGAGTTATGTTGTCAGGACACTAGCTTGAAATCAGACCCAGGGAAGCTATCTGGGGTGCAGCAAGACAAGTTTTGGTTAGAGTGATGGCCAGCTGACATCGAAGGGAAGCCTCATTCTTCAAAGGATTTCCTCTGAGAGTGTCGCCAGGGCTCCAGCAAATGCTACAAATGAAGGCTTCTTCCTTCTAGAAAGCCAGCAATTAAACATTTCAGTTGCATTTCCCTGGGCTCAGCCCACTCGCTTTTGCATATGAGACGGGGCTGCAGAGATGAACACACCCAAGACTCGGTGGGGCCACGACCCAACGGTGACTATCCAGGTGCTCTCTCTCCCTTATACTGCCAGCAGTGTGTGTAGCAGAAGGTGCAAGGGTGAGGGGTCAGGTTTAGCCGTGAGCGTTTAGCTCCCGGGTTTCTCTATCACCGGGGAAAGCACTGTCGGGACTAGGTAATAAACGATTAACACAAAAATCCTGTGGAGAAAGAAGCTTCACAGAAATCAGATGCAATTGCCAGAGACGTGCTCAACTGCTCCCAGGTGCTCAGTAAGGGGGACACGGTGGCAGAGCCCGGATACTGAAATCTGTCCCTAATGTGTGTGATGAAATTATTGAATGGAAGATGCGTCAGGCTATCAGACTCTCAGTGACCATCGTTTGTCTTTCTTCCTAGATGACGGAGGGCCGTCGATGTCAAGTACATCTTCTTGATGACAGGAAGCTGGAACTGCTAGTACAGGTAACTGACTTTTGGCCAACGTTCTAAGTTTCTTCCAAGTCTTATGTGGTTTGGACTTCGATTCAGCTGACGGGTGGGGGACGATATAAACAGTTTTTAAATCGGTATCTGGTAGAATCTAGGAGAGAAGGGCGGCACACCATGGGATTTTTGTGTGTGTGAGTGCTATATTTGTCCATTCTGTTTCTTTGTACGCCACGCCTGAGGCATTCAAGGCCAGATGTATATCTAACCTATTGTTGCAAATCTCTAGAAAAGGAAATTCCACAACTGCCATTAGCAATTTCTACTTGCTGGAGTTAACTAGAATATAATATAAGTAAGTAACTCTTGCTGCAACTAGAACTGACGTGGTCATCTTTCCTGCTCAGAGAGGGGTGGAAAACCATTTGCTGTTTCCAAGTGAATCTTTCGTAGGTGTGGGGAAAGAGAGGCAATCTCTTGGCTTTGTCTCCCCTCCAGGGGCCGAGTAACCCCCATCCCGTGTGTCTGCGTTGCATCACTCTTGAACATCTACGTGTCCGTGGACGCGCAGGAAATCAGTCAGTCCATCTATAAATTTTGCACCCACCCATCAGAGTCAAAGAAGTCAGAGCTGTATTAGAATCATAGATCCTGGCCTCTTTCAGCTTACTCTCGAAAGAATCATCATTATACCTAGAGCCCTAAAGAATCACAGAGTTGCCCAACTTGATTTAAAGAACTTAATTCCAAATCTGTTGTTCGACTCCAACTTTCAGAACCGTATTTGCTTGAAATCCTCAAATGTCTGTCAGACTCTTAGAGCAGTGTTCCTTGTTATCCAGAATATTTTGCCAGAGAATCTGTAGTTCATCGGTAGGCTGAAATGACACCTTGCATGTGCATTCACTGGAGGGGGGGGACGATACTGCCACAATGGGAAGATATGCGTAGAAATACTCTTATCTCACGTCCCCTTGTATATACTGCTTGGATTTGGAAAATGTTCGAATTGCTAACCTGAAGGAGTTAATACTTTAAATTAGATTTAAATTATAAAGGCAACGTAGGAAACAGAAAGTAGGAAAAAGCTCATAATCAGAGCCCACTCATTTACCTACTAGTCTCATTTCAGCAAATTTCTTTCCAGCATTTTTCAGATTTCTATTTCTTACGTGGTTATAATCATAATGCGTGTAATTCTATTTTATTTTTCCACCTAACATTGTCTTTCATTGGCATTTTCCAAGTTACTATAAGTTCGTCTTTGTTAATATCAGCATCAAGTCCAAAAATGGATATACCATTTTTATCTAATTGTTTACTCATTTGGGCACATTTAAGGCTTTTGTTTGTTTGTTTTACGGTTTTTCTGCTATTATCAGTAAACACTGTCATTAACTTACCCATGGGTACAGAGTTCTTCTATGTTTTGGATTATGTCCTTATTAGGCTAGATTCCAAGACTTACAGTCTTATTAAGAGTCTAACTTGTGGTTTGGATTTGGGGGGTGAGGTGAGGCAGGAGACAGGAACTGTAAAGTGAGCAAGATCTCTTCCGTTAGCAAAATCACTGACAAAGCATTTGGAGCTTTCAGTTGTTAAGAATCAGCATGAAGTTTATAGTTGAGTGGTCCAGTGTTTTTAAGATGCTTTTTTTAAAAAATATATATCAACACTTAGAGGTTTAGAAAGTAGCCACTCTCTGAAACAGGAAATGGGACCTCAAGTGGCAGTGAAGTTATAGTGCGTCGGCCAGCCTGCCCCGGGAAGATGTGAACCCAGGGCATTGGAAGTGAACTTGAATCACAGAAAAGATATTTAGTTACTGCTGTGCACAAATTTGGAAGGCTCATTCTCAGCCTTTCACAATCCAGAAGATGTTGAATTAGGCCAAGCAAGAGAAGTCCTACTCTGCCCACACAAGTCACATGTTACTTCCTCTTTCTAGAACTCTGCTTCCCGTACCTGCACCCCTGTGCCTGGCTGGTTTCTGTTAAGCCTCCAATTCACAGCTCAGAAGACACTGCGCCCCCTCCCCCATGGTTCCCTTTCACTGACTGCGCTGTCACAACTCAGTGTCACAGCTCATTGTCCCTGCCTGTTTATTCTGTTGCCCAGAGCCGCCAACGGTTTGAGGGCAGGGTCTGCGTCGTGATCCCTGTGTATCCCCAGCACCCAGCCCAATGCCTGGCACAAATGTCACTAAATAAATCCTTATGGAATGAAAGAATGGGCTAATCCTAAAATGCCTTGGTATTATTTCCCCAAAGGACTTTTTGTCGTAGAACCAATTGCTTGGCAGGGGATTTAGTTTCACACAAAAAAACTATAGACAAAAAAAAAAGAACACTTCTAAACTTTCGGCATGATTACAAAGCGGACTTCAGCAGAACATAGAGGAGCAAGGTTAAAACTACTGGACAAACACCAAGTTAAATATGACTTTTCTTTCTCCTCTACAAAGTTCCCTTGTCCCGGATTATGTTCTCTTGACAAAATCCTTTCTAAAGGGAATCCCTCTTCTCGAGTTCATTTGGACCCATGCTAGGTTTTTCATAGAACAAATCATTTGGATCCCATACCTCTCTTTTTTTGATACCATAAGTCCACAGAGTGACAGCCTTGCAGATTCATTTATACTTTAGTCACCAAAGTATATTAGGTGTGGAAGGTTTTACTGTTGTTGCTCTGAAGAATAATTTCAGAATATTTGTAACAAGCCTTAGTTGAAGAAACACCCTTCTCAGTCTTGTGATCTGGAGTTGTGGAGATGGGGCAGGGTGGGTGTTGACCCGACAAGGTTTGTAAGATGGAGAGGCAGGTTTGGGGGAAGTGTTTCTCTCCCACAGAGGGGCAAGCGGGTTTACACAAGAGTGGCTGACGTTAGAAATAGTGGCAGACGTGGCAGGTCAAGTTTTTCAGCCACCATTAGGGTAAGAGATGCATCGGAGGCTACACCTGGCAAAACTCCAACAGCCTGAAAGAAGAGCAAGGTGACTTGTAATCAACACCTACTAAGGATTCCCTCCCCGCAGAAGGATTCTGGTAATCAGACACCCATACAGATCATTTCCTGTGGTGGTGTAGACCTGGTCCCTGTGACTATAGCATTTCCCTTCTTCGGGTTATAGAGCAAAATGGCCATAATCCCAACATTTAATGCTTCTTATAAAGCCCTTTGAGATTACTGAGCAGAATCTATGCTTCCAAATCCCTGACTGCCCTCAGTAAATCCCACATTACCCTTACAGGGAAAAGGGAAAAGGTCAAGCGTGCACATACTGGGATTTGATATTTGAAAGGTTCATCTCAAAATCCACAGCCAGGTCCCTGGTACTCACAGTATTATCATGTGACTCCATAAATCCTTAAATTCCACTTAAGAACAGCAGGAACGATGATGGGAGCTTTTAGCAACAAAACCAAGCCTCCAACCTCGGTCATCTGTGTGCGGCAGGTTCCAGCCACATCACCCTCCCATCCAACCTGAGACAGTGTCATTTGCCCTGTGGCCCAAAATTGTTTCAGCCCATCAGAAATGTATTCAAAAAAGCCTGCATCAGAGTGAGAGAGGCTGCTGTCATGCATATCTCTCTGTCAGTCTCTTCCTGATGCTTCTGTAGCCAGCTAAGAGGGTGTCGTGAATGTTTTGTAGTAAAGTAAAATTCTCAAATCTTATCTTCCTATGGCTATTTCTTTAAAATAAGTTTCTCCATTTTTTTCCCCTGCATACTTAGGCGAGCATTTTGGAGGCCAAGAAAGGGAAATGTGCATTAGCCTTAGTGAGAATAATTTAAATAAGACCAAGAAGAATTTCCTGACAGTGAGGGACAGTAAATGGAATCCTGGAAGCAGTTAATAAGGAAGATCCCGGGCTCTTTCTCTTGAATCTCTTAAAAATAGAATAAATTTTCACTTGATTGGAATGGCTGAGGTGTGGCCCTTCCTTGTTAGGTTCTCTTGAGGCTTATGACATTACGTGGCACCCTTTCTCACAGGAAGAAAAGCTAGCACGTGAAAAACAGATGTGTGCCTTCTCCCTGTTTCAGGGCTTTGCCCCAACCCCATAGATGAGTAGATGTTATGCTCTGTTGGCAGGAATTCTTCCCTTGGATGATAGAGTTTTGCAAATCAGAATCCTGTCCACCCCCCCAACTGCCTCAACGAACCCCACTTTTTGTTTTGTTTGGGAAGCTGCCCTGTGATGTCACCAGCATCCTCGGCCTGCTGGCTCTGACCCAGTCTCTCAGTGGCCATTGGCAGCCCTTTTATCACCATCCACTTCTGTTAAAATAGAGGAACAGAGTGTCCTGTGATTATGAGAAGTGGCGCAAACCTCAGCTTTTTTCCAGGAGAATGAGAGATGGTAGCTGGGGTATTGTTGTACATGACACGGTGTCCCTAATTCTGAGAAAGCCGGTGGGACAGACACACCAGGAAGGATCTGGAGCTGTACTGTGTCATGCGGTGGCAGTGTTCAAAACGTGGGCAGTCCACACCGACCCGAAGTACAAAATACACACCCAATTCCGAAGGTCTCCTGTGAAAACAAAAAGTAAAACATTTTATTAACCATTTTTATATTGATGATTCCATGTTGAAAATGAAATATTTTGGGCTATAATAATTAGGTTAAAGAAAATACATCCTTGAAATTAATCACACCTTGTTTAATAGGACTACTAAAACATTTTTATTTCATATGGGGTTCACATTTGTGGCTGATACTGTATTTCTGTTGGACAGCTGTCTCTAAAGGGTAGAGAGAAGATCATTTAAACAAGAGAAAAGATTGTGGATACAGTGTGGATACAGTCAAATTACCCAGCTTTAATGCTGGATGTCGTCTGCAAGAAGGACCACATTTTATAGTTCCTCATAGAGTGTCACTGGGGCGTATCTTATCTAATTTTTATGTTGACTCTGTAAAGCCGGCGCTAATTCAGATGAGGAAACAGAAATTGAGGAAGGTCAAATAACTCGCTTGAGGTCACGTAGTAGTAGTAGTAGTAGTATATACAGCTTGAACACAGGGT